ATATACACATACAAAATCCTTCTCTTCTAGCAATTACCAGTAAGTCTGTGACAGATATTTGTTATTTTGACTTTGGAACAGCAATCTTCTAGCAAAAAGCCTGATTTTTGATAATTAAAACTGACCATTGTTGCTTTTGCACACCGTCTCTAGGTTTTTGTTCTGATGTCACACTCAGTTCTGCTAATAATTTAAGGGTAATTTTAAGCTTGTTTCTTTAAGTTTGCTTGTAATTAGCTATGTGCTATTATAGTTAGAAGCCCTTGTTCATTTTTGTTAGAGCACTCATCTTCATTCAGAAATCTAGTGGCTTTATTTGACTGTATTTTAAATTTAGTTAATTCAGAATAACAATGATGTAAATCCTTTTTCACCTCTTTGCCTTGTTACTCAGTATTTGTTGTACTACATATCTATATAGTGGAAAATCCAGAGTTAAGGGTCTGTTCAGCCTTGAGAGAAGGTGGCTTGGGGAGACCTTATCACCCTGTTCCAGTATTTAAAAGGATGGCTACAAGGAAAACCACATGGAAAAGGGGAGGGGTAATGGGTACAAGTTACTCCTGGGAAGATTTTAATTAGACACAAGAGCAAACATTTTCACACTGAGAGCACTCAGCTACTGGAATAATCTCCCCTAGGAAGTAGTGGATTCCCCAACATTAGACAGTCTTAAGATTCAGTTGGACAGGGTTCTAGGCCATTGTGTCTGGACTGTGCTTTTGCCAAGAGATGATCCTTGAGGTCTCTTTCAACCTGGTCTTCTAGGATTGTCTGTGGTTCATAATCTTATCAATTCATAAGACTGAATTAGCACACACAGAAGAAACACAAACTGACCTATGAATCTGCTAGCTTAGAACTTTGGTTAGTTAATCAAGGACTACATACAATTCATCATCAGTATTTAATAGTGTCATTTGGTTGATTAAGTCTGCATCATAGTCTATATCTAGCTGCAAAATCTCAGTAAATATTTGTCTTGAGCCTGGGGGGTTGTGTCCATTTGGACTGTGCTGACCACACAGAGTTCCACTGGTTTCAATGTTACTCCATACAAGAGTCCAGACTCCCTAGATTAACTAAGCAAGATGTCTTATGAAAGGAGTTATTGTTGTTAAGTAATTAAACTTTGGAAGCTTTTCACAGATTTTTTTGACACTTTATCCACTGCTTATTTTGAAACAAACTACTCTGTTACTTCTTTTTCTACAAACAGAAATGTTCCCATCTTCAAAAAACACAATTACTTAGCCAAAGTCTTATAGAAGCCTCAGTTACAATATTATTAGATGAATAAAAGATTGTCCACACACATTCCTGTCAGGCTTCCTGGAACTGAGACATTTGTTTCACAATCTTTTTTTATTATTTTGAAGTATGCTTTTTAAACATTGTATTTATGTTTCCTAAATCAGGGAACTCTCTAAGATTTCCTTCTGGTAAAGCCAAGGAGCCTAACTTGGTAAATATTTTCTTCAACGAGTGTTTTATTTCATCACTATCTTTTCATTTCAACAAAATTAATTTCTTCCCTTCACCTTGTCTCGGTTCAATTCTGAATGACACATTGGTAATTGGGTACATTGAAGGAGATGTTGCTTTACCAGGAAACTACTTGAGTGGCTCAGATTCCGTGTCACATATTTTACTTTCCTTTTCTATTAACTTTTTCAGAAACAGTTTTATTTTGGTCATGGGAACGCTCCATTCAGAAAATTAGATCTGTTAGCAGTACAAATGAAGACCTTGGTTATTTTTGGTTTGTTCTTCTGGTATTTATATCTTCATTCAGAAATTGAGTATCTGATCTACATATTTAGATTCCATCTTGAATTTTTCTTCTTTTACTTTTTAGTGTTCCTATGTGCACATCTGTCATGAATGCTACTTTTTTTTTTTAAGAATGAAAGTGTGTACTATAAGTAAGGCTAACTTTTATGTTCATAGGGTTTTTTACATGATTCTTTTGCTGTATAGACCACCATGTTTACCATGTCCTTTTTCTTGAATCCTGTTTCCTATTTGCTAATGGACAGAGCATAGAATTTGCAAATACAAAGGGAAAGTTTCCTTCCTTTTCTGCAGTCACAGCACAAATAGTCCTGCTTCTGTGTGGTTTTCTACAGAGTACTCAGATCAAAATCTGACCATAATCTCAAAAATACCTGGTGATGTTTGCAAGCCATTTGTCTGCAGTATGCCTGGTAGTGTAACATTGATGTTAGGATTTGAAGTGGACATTTTTCAAAACTGTAAACCTTTTTAAAACTTACATGCCCCATCATTATGTAGGATTCACAGCTATGAGTGGGAAATAAAGCTTCTCATGAGGTGATTCACCTTTCAGTGTAGTTCAGAAGGTATTAGGCCTATCAACCTATGACTACTAAAATGCACTATACTCTAAATAAGAAATCCTGTATTTTATAAGTACCTGGGGACGATTTACAAAAGTGGACAGGCTTAGGCACTATTGAATAAAGCTGTTTGACACATAAGAAATTTCAGAAGTCTGTGCCAATGATAATCTAACCTATGGACCAGTGACAATCCTGTAGCAAAATCAGTTGAACAAAGCTGACAGCAATGGTGAGAATGCTTGTTTCCATTATGCCAGTCCTAAATTGCCTTCATCTAGGTATTTGGGTTTTTTTTTTTCACTGAACTTTTACTGTGAATCTATAAAAGCAAACCTTTCAGCCCTGCTTGGAAGATGGGCTCAATGTGTCACTTTCAGAACTCACGGGTATATAGATATGTAGATATATATTACAGTTAATAATCTTGGGAATGTTTAGAGATGTTTTTTTCCAAGTCTTGTAAGTACTGTACAGCCATGTTTTTATTATTTGTAATTGGGGTGTAATCTATTTTTCAGTTCTGCATGTAATTTAATGTAGAATATATGCAATAATAAGATATTTTTATGTGTGCAGGTATATATATGTGTATATATATATACACACATGTATGTAGGCACATATATACATTTCTAACCCATAGAAATGTCTTCAGACTAGGTTAAAACAAGTCATTTTTGCTTATTCTAATGGCATGATCCTTAAAATCTGAATTCTCTGTTCCCATATTTATATCTCACTCTTAAACACTGCTGGCCTTTAAACAGATCTCAGCTATTACAACAAGTTCTGCAAATTGACTTAATGCTATGTGAAGAATTACTACCTCTTGGATGTATTTGTTTGAACAAAACCCTTTGAAAAGAGAAAGGGATCTGGGTTTTGTTTGATATATCGTTGGATGCAAAGAATCTCTGGTATTTCAGGATTCTTTGTGCGCTGACCTAGTCATAACAATTGCACATTTCCAGACTAATAATTCTATTGAGAGCTGAAGAGGCTTTGAGGATAGAATTATAATCCTTTGTATTAGTCATCTTCAGTGGCCTGCATTTGATCTCCTTTCAATTTACTACATATATTGACAAAGTCACATTGTTACTGACAGTCTTCCTGAGAACTGTTAAGTGGCCTATGCTTCAAGGCCATTTTCTTTCAACTAAAAGCTTTATTTGGTTTGTAGGGAACATGCTCTATTTGCAAATTGGGAATGTGTTATCAATATTTATTTAGGTTTTTTTAATCTTTGCATAGAACCAATCTGGATCTTTTGGATGGCTGCAAAGTACTTGTCTAGCTGGTTTTTGGCTTGTCCTCCCATTTTTGAAGATGTAGAGGTCACACTTAGTATACATGTTTCAAATGTGGTTTTATGCAGCAAAACCATCTTTGCTCCTGGTTCAGTTTTGCCTTTTCCTCTACTCTTGCTTTAATATAGAATGTTCCTCAACTCTTTCTAAGTTTTTGTTTATTTGTCCACTATACTGCAAGCCACTACCATGCTCAGATCAGTAACACTGAGAGATACAAAATATTGTGCCTCTTTGAAGGAAAGTTCAGTTGGAGCAGTATCTGCTCATCCACTGATTCCTTCTGCTCTTTTTGGTGTAGAGTTCTACTTCTCTTTGCTTGCTAGCTCATGTATTATTACTGGACAAATAACAAGGGACAACCTTATTCCTTCCATAGCTTTAGGGTCTGAAGGACCTGTCAGTCCCTGAATTCAGCAGGGACAGGGTTGATACCTGTTGATTATACATGTATTATTCATATGGATGCTGGAATAAGTATATCTACCTCACAAACCAGTGATAAACTTTGCAAGTGTACTATCTATGGTATCATCTAATTAGCTAGTCAGAGAATAAGACCTTGTTGATCTGTTTACAAACCCGTAAGTGTTTCCTTCTCAGAAAGTTGCAAATAAAATCCTATTTTAACCATATTAAAATATTTTATAGATTATACAGCCCATGTTGGAAATTAGAGCCACTGCTTCTATCAGCAGGGAAGGATAAACATTTGACACAGATATTCTTTTTTTTTTTCACAGAGCAGATTATAGATAATTTTGGTACATTAATAAATGCAAAAAAATAGAGTCACATTTAAGAAAAAGTAGAAAACAAGTTTTCATTTTGGGATAATTGGAATTGTATTGACATACAGTGATATTAACAGGTTTTTTTCAGGTAATAGATTACTTAGAGTGCTAGTGCAAATCTGGGTATTTCTGTGTGTAATTTGCTTAGAAATAAGTATGAGAAAAGCATAATCATGACTTGTTTGTTCTAGTGAGAAGAGTTTCAATCACTAGTGTTTTGCTATACAACAGAGCTAGATAAATATTGTAAATGAAAAAAGTATTTTCTTTGCAAAATTATCATTTATAGCCATGGATAGATGATTTATATTGAACTCAATATTGTTTTATAAAGAAGTTATTAGATATATTATTGTTTATTGTTACTGATTGGCTATTTAATAATGTTTATTATAAAGGTATTTATTATTATATCATGAAGTATGCATATTTCAGTGTTAAAAAACTTCTAGCCATTGCTTTTAAAAGAGAAACTGCTATTTTCAGATTACTGTGATATTTTCACTGAATTGACAGTATACATTGTATTTCAGGTGAACTCTGTGAGGAGAAACTAGATTTCTGTGCTCAAAACCTGAATCCTTGCCAGCATGACTCAAAGTGCATCTTGACACCCAAAGGATACAAGTAAGTTTGAAATATTGTCAGGGTCCAACTGAATCTAAATTTCTGTTTTTCTCTTCTGCTTAGCTTGCTTTCCTTGTGTTTTAGTGGAAGCAAGTTCTATTCTCAAAGTACTTAATTAGGTTATTATTAAGCATTATGGCAGAACAGACCATTATTTTCATGCAGAGCTACATTATTATCTTAAGTATGTTTTACAGAATTTTACTGATTATTAACAGTTCTAATTCCAACCAATTTTAAATAGAAATGCAGGGTAGTCTATGTGACAGTCTGTACAAAACCCTTTTAGGAGCTTGGACAATAGGAAAATAATTGCATTTAATTGAAGTGGAATAATTAGACTGCTTTTAGAGAAGTAATTCTGAAAGAGATTATTAGAAAGGCACACTGGAAGGTATAAACTAAAGAAGTCCAACCCCATGAAAACCAATCTTTAATTGCACCATATCCTTATCATAATTAATTAGTATGCGCAATTTGTAGTTGTTTTAATAGGCTTTAGATTAATAAATGCAGGAAACATGCAGGTTTCAATTGTTCTTATAAGCACCTGTATTATGCACAGCATGCTTT